CTCTCTCTCTCTCTCTCTCTCTCTCTCTCTCTCTCTCTCTCTCTCTCTCTCTCTCTCCCCCTCCCTCCCTCCCTCCCTCCCTCCCTCCCTCCCTCCCTCCCTCCCTCCCTCCCTCCCCTACCCCTTCCTTCCTTCCTTCCTCCCTACGTTCTCTCTTCCTCGTCTTCCTCGTCTTCCTCGTCTTCCTCTCTCCCTCTTCCAGAAGGTAAGTCCAGTAAGATCTTATCGCGTGTCGCCGGAGAGGCAGCGGAAGCGCGCAGGAAGCCGGAATAACTCCACGACACTTCCAGACACTTCCCCTGGGTGGGTGGGTGGGTGGGTGGGTGGTGGTGGGGGGGAGAGGAGGGAGTACGTGGGTTTAGGGTAGTGGGGAGAAGGGGGGCGGCGGCTTGGGTTGTGGCAGGTGGCCTTTCAGTGTCTTTTGGGGATATTATCTTCTATATTTGGTTATTGGGGTTGTTATATATGGGTATATGTAATAGGTGTCTAATAGATATCACACACACACACACACACACACACACACACACACACACACACACACACACACACACACACACACACACACACACACACACACACACACACACACACACACACGCATACTCGCACATGCACACACACACGCACGCACGCACATGCAAATATATATACATACATATATAGTCTATTTAGCTTTCTCCGTTTCTATCCATCACGAGTTCGCACGTAACATACTCATCCCTTACTCACACATGAATATACACATGGACTATTTTCCTTCCTGTCTTGGCCCTCCTCTCTTTACGGAGAAAAGAGAAAGCAAAGGTGAGATACAAGAAAATAAGTTCCGGGTCACGTAAGTCATGTTAATTGGAGAGAGCGATACACCTTCATCGGTATTGTAATTCGCCTATATCATTTTTATTTACTTGTGAAAAGGATCTCTTCCCCCTCCCCCTCTCCCCCCCCCCCAAAGAGAATCATAATCAGCGGGTGGCGTTCGTGGCCTAGCATTTAATTCCGGGTTGTGAAATGTCAGGCAGGCGCAGGTGGAACGTACTGTGTCATTAATTCCGGCTTGTGTTCCGACGGCGCAGATGCAGAGTTTACCGTCTGGAGTTTTTTTTTTTTTTTTTTATCCTCGCGTTTCTCTTTCTTGGTTTATTGTTTTTTCTTATTCTTATTATCGTTATTTATTTTGTTTTTTTATTTGCCTTGAAGAAGAAAAAGGATGTTTTTTTTTGGCGCGAACTTTTGAATGTTAGGGATGTCGATGCAGCGTGAAGGGTCCGCCATCTTGGATTTAGGAAGTCTGTTTTATGTCATGTCGAGGGTCTTGATTGACGTGACAAAGCAACGTGACAAGGCTTCGAGAGGAAGGTTTGTGGGCACGTTGGGGAATAATCGAGCGACGGAATGATAGGAAGAAGGTCGCTTGTGCATTCTGTGTTTAATGTTTTGAATGTTTTAACTTCCTTTTTCCTCTCCCCATTCTGTCTGTCTGTTTGTCTCTCTCTCTCTCTCTCTTTCTCTCTCTCTCTCTCTCTCTCTCTCTCTCTCTCTCTCTCTCTCTCTCTCTCTCTCTCTCTCTCTCTCTCTCTCTCTCTCTCCCCCCCCCCCCCCTCTCCCTCTCTCTCTCTCTCTCTCTCTCTCTCTCTCTCTCTCTCTCTCTCTCTCTCTCTCTCTCTCTCTCTCTCTCTCTCTCTCTCTCTCTCTAATTATCCTCATCCTTGCCCTTCCTCTCCCTTTCTCCAGAGACACGAATGCTTAATATCTTATATAGATTTTCCATTAGGATTTATTACGACGAGCAGCTGCCAGCGATCTACGATTTTGTCCGTGTCCATAGGTTTACAGAATAATTTAAAGGTGCGGTTACTGGGTGTTCAATTATTAACGTTCGCCTTCAATACAACTGCTAAATAATTCATTGAGAAATCATGTAAAGATGTTGTGGTAAACGACATAGTTAGAAACTTTTTTTTTTTTTGATGGTACTGAGTTACAAGCAGTTAGGATACTTTATTTGGCATTTTCAGTCAGAATTCGGACCCTGGAACGATACGTTTGGACATATTTAGTGTCCGTGTACTTGAAACCGTCGATACAAGTCGAAATTTCGCGAGGCGTTATTACAGATCTGTCGGTGATAAAAATGAAAAGAAAAAAAAAACGTTTGATATACGGCGTTATGTCTGATTTGTTGGTGATCCATACCACGGTTATCGAACAGCTGTGTAAATTCTTATAGCTTATTTGGAGACAAATCATAAGCCATGTGAGGCAGATTAAAATAATGGGGCAGTTAAGCTGTTTTTCAGTTATTGTTTGCCAACGAAATCCGTCGAAGATTTTTTCAGAATTTTGAGTTTTTTTTATTGATCTTATTTCAGACGACATAATTGAGTTTTTTTTTATTGATCTTATTTCAGACGACATAACCGCCCTATTATGAATGTTGCATTTAGGACCACGAATTTTGCTGAAGGTAGAACTGACATCTCTGCTCCCATCGTCAATGTTCTCCTTGGCTCCCTTG